CCATAGCTTTCTTTCTGCTGAATCAAATCAGTTTAGTTTTTGATATGTTTAGAGGCAAACCTTCTTCACTAAGCAAGTGTATTTTGTTGAATGGGAGAAAGAATTTGAAAGAAAAAATTCTTACACTTTCTGAAATTCTCGAGTATGACCAAATTCCAAGTAAATTTCAATTTATTGTAAAAAGTTTACAATTCATTAAACAACTTGAAGCATATAAATATTTTGAACAGACTCAATACTCCCTTGATAACCTTCTGGAGTCGTTAAAATCTCGACAAATTCTAAGTATGGAATCAATCACTGATTGCACTGTCTGTTGGGGAACTCCCCAAGTTTTCCTCAAATTTGACTACTTTCTCGGCCCTTTTTTCGGCCGAAAACTTCCCTGCCTTCTTCCATAGTGTTTCGATGACGCTCAGGACATGTGACTGAATTGGTCGCTCCGTTAGAAGCACGCCATGCTGGCGAAACCACTCCTTCACAGTGGAGGTGCGATGCTTTTGGTCGCTCCATTGCTAGAAGACGAAGACATTAGCGTGCAGTTGCCATACGTGTGGATACACAACACCTTCTGAAACCTAACTGTATCCGTCTGCCTTCACCAGTTCGCGAATCCTCTGCAGCGGTACAGCTTCTTCTACGGCCTACCATAACCGAGCCTCCGCCTAGTTACAAGGATGGCAGCTGATACTTTGAATCAAACGCTTCCCGTTAGTACCCTACACGTGCTTGTTGCTGCCGCTGACAAACATTAAAAATTCGCTCTCGTCACTCCAGATGACGTTGTAGCGCTGTGGGGATCTAGAGTCCAGAAGTGCAAAAACCCGTTCCATCTTTTTCACCTCACAGTCAAACAACTTTACAGGATTTCTGAGCGATGAAGGCAGACGGATGCAGTTGGGGTGTTGTGTATCCACACGTATGGCAACCTCACGCTAATGCCTTCGTCTTCGAGCAATGGAGCCACCAAAAGCATCGCATCTCCACTGTGAAGGAGTGGTTTCGCCAGCATGGCATGCTTCTAACGGAGCGTCCAATTCAGTCACGTGTCCTGAGCGTCATCGAAACACTATGGAAGAAGGCAGGGAACCTTCGGCAAAAAAAGAGCCAGGAATTATGGAAGAGAAACTTATCAAAGTTTGAGAAAAAATCAGGAGGTTGTCCCAACAGACAGTGCAATAGGTGATTGATTCCACACTCAAACCTTGTCGAGTTTTAACGACTCCAGAAGGCTATCAAGAAAGTATTGAATCTGCTTAACGTTTTCTATTTATTATGCGTAGATTGTTTTGTTGAATTGTAAGCTTTTAATAAATTGAAATTTACTTGGAATTTAGTCATACTCGAGAATTTCGAGTGTAAGAATTTTTTCGTTTCAAATTCTCCGTCCCATTGAGCAATAATTCACATGATCAGGGGGAGCTTCGCCTCTTGAACATATCAAAAACTGAACTAATTCGATTCAGCAGAAAGAAAGTTATGGGCGAAGTAACATTTGGCCGAATACTTTCGAGCACTACTGTGGTTGGTCTGCCAGTAATGAAAGAGAGCAAAAAACTGCTAAATAGGCTCTAAGCCATCCAGAACGCTAACTAAGATTTGCAGTTTTTCTGATATAGGACTGCGATGAAGACGGCAATTAAAGGGACTCCGGTGGGTTTTGAGCCTATGTTTCGCCCACTTGATCGACGCGCAATTAATTTAATGCGTCTTTAGCAGTTTTTTTGCACTTCGCCAACTTCCATCTGTGCGGAAAAACATTTATCATACCATGTTCGATCCATATTTTTGAGTTTTTACAGCAGTTTGCATCGAGATTGATGTGGTTCGCCCCAAATATGTGCTAAGTTTTAACTATTTAGTTATTTTGCCGTCTAAATGATGTAGAAACGTTCGGTTTTTTTGGGATTATAGCGGATTTAACCATATCTTTTTCTAGCGTTGGGTTCTCTTTACATGGTCAGTCTGCAAATACGGTCGCAACGAAAGTTCCTTGCACTTTTTTCAAAAACCTGGCAAATGGCTGTAAATCAACTTGTAGGGAAAATTTCAAAACCATATACAGGGATGGTAATATTCCTTCATATTCTCGAGTCTCACCTCCTGCACGCTTTTTGGAAGCCTGGAAAATGCCATAAGTTTCTACCCATGTACGCCACTGACTTCTTTGCGAATTTTGTCTGGGACACACAGCGAGCGAAGCCTGCCGCAAAATATGCTCTGCGGAAGGAGAAGGAGTGGTAAGTGAAAAAACCTGCCAACTTTGGTTCAGAAAGGTTCCGCGAAGGAAACTACAACCTCGAAGATGAACCTCGTTTAAACGTCCAATGAAGTCAATTTGGAACGTTTGGAGCTACTACTTCAAGACTTTCCGCATGCAAGCGCCAAGGAGCTGGCAAAGGAGATGCAGTGCTTCCAACATGGCCGTAGTGCCCTCACAAATGGGAAAAGTCAATAAACTTGGTCGATGGATCCCTCATGAGCTGACAGAGCAGTCCAAGAAAAGGCGTGTCGAGGTGTCAGATGTTTTCTTGCAAGCAGTCATCGTTTCGATTGGCCGGATAATTTTATTACTGAAGATGATACCATACCAGGAGAAGGCAGTGGGTGAATGCGGATCAGAAGCCAGGGCCTGTTCCGAAGCAGGAGCTTTATTCAATGAAACCCTCCCATCATTTTGGTGGAGTGTTCAGGGAGTGTACATCATTACGAGCTCCTGCCAGACAATACCACCGTCGACGCTGAGGTGTACTGCTCACAACTACGAAGGCTCGCAGCTGAAGTCGCGAAACTTCGCCCTAAGCTGGACGAAGTCCTTCTTCTTCATGACAACGCGCGACCGCATGTTGCAAGGGTAACCCAGGACACATTGGCGGAACTTGGATTGCGGTCTTACCCCATCCTCCATATTCGTGGGCTTTTTCCACTCACTGGCTCACTTCCTAAATGATAAAAAGTACGATACCCGCCAACAGTTGGGAGCGGACATCCAGCACTTCTTCGACTCGAAACCTGCCGAATTTTGGAGGAGAGGCTTTCATTCCCTTGTCGACCGATGGCGGACTGTTGTAGATACTTGTGGAAATTATTATTTGGAATAAAGTTCAATTTCAAGAAAAATATGAGTTTTTGAAATTGAGGGTCGAATCCGCCATTACTTTCGTTGCGACCTAATACAATGGAATTATGACTGCAGTTGGTAGGGTAGTACGCAACCGCAGCGCTGGTGAATGAATTATTGGATTCGGCACGATCACCTGAGGGAAGCTTTTCAACGAGCACTTTCAATCGTTTCTAAGACAGAAAACCAAGTTTCCTTCAGATGATGGCAGAGGATCGGCATGAACAGCGTAAATCCATCCATTTGGCCGAGCCAGACAGGGGCCGCATTTGGGACTTGGGAGAGGGGTTTTAGTTGCGAAAGATGAGGGATGGTGTTGTGATGGGAAAAGGAGTCGTATTCGATGATTTTTAAATGTGTGTTTGAGGGAATCCCAGAGAGGAATGTTAAATTAACAAAAGCCGCTATGGCAGTGAGGGTGGAGGAGGGAGGAGGAGAGGGGTTATGGAGCCTCCTCTCAAAAAAAAAACTAACGGTGATGATGGGTATCAAATGAGTCGTAAAAGCTCAAATCGAAAGTGAAGAATGGCAAAATGAAAACGACCAGAATATCAATATTAAGAAAGGTCAAATCTTTTTGTACAATAGTTACGTTCATTCATGAAAACTATCTCAAAAGACGTTATTGTCATTATACATTCAAAACTCGCTTTTTTTGAAATTAATGCTCGATAAATTTTTAGCAAAAAAAGCCAGGTGTGCGATATACTGAAAAATAAATCTTTAACGATTTCTTCGAGATATAAATGGATTGAGTGCAGTTGCGTTTTGAAAGGGCATGATTCGAATTTTTCACATCTTACTATTTTTTGGAGGGCGTTTGAAAAACATTCGAAGAAAGTTGTAGCCTTCGAAATTAGGAATTGCCGCGTAAAACTGAAATTGCAATTTCTGCGTCATAACATTAGCACTTTCTCACAACTTGAAGAGATTTTGGGTGTTTCTGGAAGAAAAAATCTCGTATACTAGTTACCTGCAGTTGTGCGGAGTTGCGTATTGAGGTTAACATGTTGACGACATTGTGCAGCGCATGCGCTTCACACCTTGAGACCGTGTGGGACCGTGTGCAGCGCATGCGCTGCACACACAAATTATTCAATTTTATTCGCGCATGCGCTGCTTCTTTCCTAATGCGAGGTTCATCGAATGGTTGAATATGCTCCTTTTTAGCGAAGGTTTTCCAAGTCCTACGAATTTCCCAATTGTGTTCATTCCTAGTTTTCTTTATATTCTGACAACCTTGGTCATAAAAAAGAGTAGTAGAAGTAAGTACAGACCTACACATATAGCAACATATGTTTTCAATGGAATAACAAGAAAACGTTAATTCGATCGAACTTTTCACAGTTGTTCCTTCTGATAAGTTTGACACATCGAATATCATTCGAAACATTTTGTTGCATCCGAGTTTTGCGTATTTAAAGCTCAAAATTCACGGATTTGATGTGAGGCGGCGGCGCCTGCAAAATCGCCGTGGTCCCACGCGGCGCAAAAACCCAAAACGCGCGTTGTCGTCAACGTGTGTTAAAGTATTACACCCCTTTAAAGCACTACTTCACGACCCCAATTTCACTCGTAGTCTGACAATGAGGAAAGCATTTCGCGCTCCTAAGAGAGCCATGAGGCCGCCAATTCACCATATTCAAATGGTTGGTCGAAGCGATTCTATCCCTGAATTCACGTACCCTTCCGCTCCCCCTTCCCCGCGGACCTTATACGACCCCTCTGCCTGGATCGGCGATGGACGGGCCCTGCTCCAGCGAACATTGTTATTTGTGAATAGCGTCAATGCTAAGCTGCACGGTTCCGATATTGCACGCAATTGGACTCTTGTTTTATTTGCGTTTCGGCCTGCCTTTTTTAAAATCAAAGAGATAGGTAACGAGTCCATTGCCATTTGAGCGCAGTGGCGATGGTGCTGGCCGTTGCTCGTCGTCTCATCGTGTAGTGGCTGTAACTTCATCCAAAACTTATCACCTGTGCGCTGACGATGTCTTTTCCCGTGGAGCTCCTCTATGCCGTGACCTTGAAGGAGAAGTCGGTGAAGACCATAAAACGGAGACTCGAAAATGTTGGGGATTCTGAAAGAAAGGTAGAGATTTTCCTGACCACAACAACCACGCTTCAAGGAATACCTTCTTCAACCAACGCTTAACTAACTCTGAAAGCTTCGCGGGAACCTAAACATGTGAGTGGAACAGGCGTCAACCAATAATCAGTAGCACGCGGACGCTGATTATGCTAATATTAGAAGCGGGTTGATTCCTTATCCTCTATCGCTTCCTATGTAGATCTGGCGTGAGTATTTGGTCTAGACTGCTAGTCATCAGGTGGTCATGAGCTCATAATAACCGCCATAGCTAATTTGTAAATTGTCAGGAGACATGTCATTAATGCTCTGAAGCGCGCTATTGCGTTTATTCGTAGGGATCTCTCCATCAGAAAGGATTATAGTAAGTCACTCTCACTGATGCTGCACTCTGAAGCCAAGGTGGCGACTCAATAATATACAAGTGGCTGTATTGAAGCTTCGTCGCGGAAGGCACTGTGGGGTCATTCAATAACCAAAACGTCCGTTCCTTGGTCGGATATGTCAAAACTACTCCAGTTGACCACTGAATTTTCAGAAAAGCGCCAAATTTCTCGTAAAATTGTAATCAAAACGAGGAAGCAGAAGACGGGCTTGTGCGCAGTCATTCTCGCTATCCTTTTTCTCGGATTTTCTAATTGAAGCTTAGATTTTCAATTAGGCGTTTTCTCGACGAGCCAAATAACTGAAACAATTTTTTGTATTCGTTTGAGTAATTTGGGCACCACTCTTGTGGAGCTACCAGCGATTATTTTCTACATGAATACATTTAGAAATCACATATTACCTAATAATGTGCTATGTTATTATGGCAATTATATGGTGCGCTATTGCACTGAAGATTCAGAAAACACATAAACACTGAGGAACAGGGAAACGGAAGAGTGGTCCCCCAAACTTCCAGCCTTGAAAAAACTGTAGTTCCCGATTATTATGGAGATTTGTCATGTTAACAAATCGTACTACCCCTGCGACTTTTTGATTCTAGAGGTGGATTCGAGCCCATTTCCCCGATCATTGTTCGCGTTAGATCAAAAGCAATAAAATTTAAAAAGTTGACAGCTACTGGCTTTCGAACTCCCTTATTTGAACAACTGGGAAACTTCCTCATCAGTTATAAAGACTACATGATATATTTTATATACAAGGCGGTAAGATCGTCTTTGAACCAGTGAACCCCTGTCCCTATTCATGATTTTTGTAAGTCAAAACAGGTAGCCCAAATTATATTGTAGATGCTTACCCGCAACATTATTGATTTTTATACTACGGCATGAGTGCGTTCGTATCGAATAGGAAAGGATCCCACTGTACCCCCACGCTCACCAGTTTTGTGATGAGGAGGGGAAAAATCGGTTTTGTGAGCCTTTCGGCTAACCTCCGAAGCTTTTCTTCCACCCAATCTATTTCCGTACCCGGAAAGCCTGAAAAAAGGAAAATAAATGGCCTGTTCTTGGTTCCTCCTGCGTAAAAGCTGGATAATTGATAAAATCCAAAAACTGGTTTTTTTGGATAAAAACAAAAATTTCGTGACTGGGGTGCAGGCAAATACCCGCCTTTTTTACTATTGCCATGGGTCCCAGGAGGTCAACTTTTGGGAACCCGCATTTCAACTCATTCCGTTAAAGCTTCTGTCTGTTGACGTGACCTGTTTTGGGATTTGTGCAGCTTAATTGTTAAAAAAACTTCAAAATTGTTTATCGGAATTTGAAGTCAAAAATGGATTCAAATTGGATTCAAGATAGGTACTGCTTCCGAAAAATGATTGTGCGAAGGGTCATTTCCACCCAGGCTTTTCTGCCGTCAAGCAGTTCTTACTACCTTCACCCGAACCTGCTGTAGAAACCCCCGTGTCCGGTGGGCCAAACAAAAGTGCAACCTGATTTCATAGCTACGCAAGCAGCAGTTGTGAAGAGGGTCAAGGGTGTGCTGAACGGTTAACTCTATTATCCGCTTCACCGGGGTGCAACAGTGAGAGAGTTTTCCGACTTCTGTCATGAATGAAGTAAAAAGATGCTGCGCAGGTAGCTGCGGAATTCAATTGGTCACATACCGCTATAGGAAACGTGAAGTTTCGGACGTAAAAGCCCGACCGGAGTAGCCCAAAAAAAATGGGGTGAAATCCTAAAATGGGGTGGCCGAATCCGGCTGTGTCTGAAACACCTGCACTCACGACACAAATGGGAAACGACAGCCACAGAACGATATGATGAAAGTTCGGACAGTCCAACTATGCCTTCCCCCAGAATAGCGACGGGTGCTCCGAGGGACGAGTCGAGACAGTTATGCAGTATTAAGATTGGAAGTGGCCTTTTAAAGGCAAACCCCGACGGCTCCAGCTTACAGTAGAAATACTGTGTGGGCGGCGCAGGCAATAGTTGTGAACAGAGCTGAAAATTCCCCCGGAAATTTTAGATATTACCACAGGGTGCATGCCAACAGAATCGTCCGGACCCCGCGCTGGCCGCGAGGCTACGTACGCGCAATTGCAGTCGGAACGAGGTCTGCGAGTCATGGGAATTAGAATGTGGATAAAGACGCCAACCGGCCCCCGCTTTTTACACACGAAATTTCAAAATCACGAATCCGGTGTCAGCAAGGATAGTTCCATTCCAGGGACGAACATTTTTTCTTGCCCGCCGTTTTTCAAGGACGCACTGTATTGAGCGGATATGAAGTATACATCAGATACGAAGCTGTTTTCACTCTGCATTTCTGTTCAATCGTAAGGGGATAGTCAACTAAATACTAGATAAATTCAAAATCCGCACCCCACATTGGTTATTGTGGACTGCAAGAAATTCACTGCTCCGACAGCCAAATTGTAAAAGCAGCGCCTATCCGGAAATTGCCGCAATTCGACGCCGCGCAAGTTGCTGCATGCAGCGAGCCGAGCGCGGAGCCAAATCTGTTGACCGCCCTATACCCGCATTCAAAGCACAGGATGCGTGAGCAAAATCAAGGGTGGTGAAAAAGGAAAGGAAGAAGCCGCACAACATACCACAGTGGTAGAGCGCCCTCGTTTCACGTTGGCATTGGATTGGTCAGATCAATATTGCGGGATGTTCAACACTTTGCAACCTTTATATGATATTCCGTTTTCTCCACAATTCAAAATCAACAGAGCTCCTTAGTGCTGTGGAAACGATTCCTCTCATGAAACGTTGCAGAAAAGTACAAGTGCATGAGCGTATTCTGTATACAATGTAGGGAAGCACCATTCCGACCATGGGCGATGTCCCAGTGATGTCATCAATCATGCTATTATTCGTTTCAGCGTGACCCAAAGCATACCCAGACCAACCTACCGCCTTCCACCAACGTTGCTCGACCTGAGACATCTTATGGAATTATATGCGTACTGTACTCACTTTCCGGGTGCGATGTCATCTTCAAGCCATCCGACAATCCAGAGCATCCATAACCCGTGAAGTACGGATTTTTTCCTTTGCATAGCCGTATCCATCTCACAGAAAACGTGATAGGTCCTGAAGTGCACTCGAATACAAAATAGTAATAATAATAGCAATAATAATAATAGGAATACTCGTTACTACTGCATTGGTCCTATCTTTTACACATTTACAACCAGTGATGTCATCAATCATGGTCCTATCTTTTACACATTTACAACAGCGCGGCAATTACTCATTGTTTCGCTGTTTGCAGGACATTTGGAACACAACTAGGACACAAATATGTGTCCGCACTCACTTCACTTATTTTTTTCATGCGCAGCTTACCTTTGTTTTTCATGTCCATCTCTAAGCATACGGTAATATGATTATGAGCGAATCAGTAATGTGCTTCACTTTACAACTTTTTTATTTATTTCCAAAACCTCAATTAGGTTTTTTCAACATTTCATTTTCATTGTCACCCTGTGGAAAATGGAACAAACAAGTAGAATGAATAAATGCACACCTATCCGGATTGCAAGAAACACATTTTTAGCGAAAACTTTACACGTTGAACTACTTGACGGCCCTACATGAAGCGTGAGCAAACTTGCTTTCATTGCCATGACACGCCCTTGGTCCAAATTTATACTCTTTTAAGGCCCGGACGACCTTAGCACGTCAAACGTGATGGAATTGTGTTTCGCCATCCGAGTTCTGAATATTTGTCCTCTTGAACCCAATGTGAGGTAATGTGGCCGTGCTCGTGAAATCGCACCGTTCCCACGCGGAGAAAAATTCAAAACTCTCACTGCTGTCAACATTCTGAGATTAAGGCACTCTCTACACTTGTCTCGTCACCCCCGTGCAAATACGACTCAAACGCCTCGAGGCATCTACCCTCGCCTTCAAATGACCAGAAATTGTGCAATTGCAGAAATTGACGTGGCATTAACGTGGCATCGATTCAAGAACATCTTTGAGCACACGTGATGTCACCTTTTCATCGAGAATTTAGCCACGTGTGCCACGTGGATTTCTGGCTGCGTGAAATAGTTACTTACAGCTAAAACAGTACGCTACGTCTATGTAGACACACACACTTCCATTACTTACATGGCTTTTATAGTCCTATGCATGTCTAATCGTTTCTAAAAATTTCTTCGATTTCTATGCAACGCACTTCGTTTTCGTACAATCTAACCTTCTCTTTCATTTTCACGCTTTGTTCCTTGAAGATGCGAAGGACTCAAGGATTTGGTAGCACTCGGTTTTGGGAATGTGTATGTCATACTGACTGCTGGATGTGTAAACAAATTCTACTTTCTCCGGAAATGCAGATGTCACGTACCGGAAAACGAAATTTGACAGCCAATAAGCGATGATGATGTCAATCGTGTAGTGTGAATGAGAGATAATTAAGCAGAAGACTCCGGAGACTGCGAAAAAATGCGGAATCCACTGCATGTACCGCCATCGTGCTGGCAAGTAATATGCGATAAAAAGAGCACTGGTCACCTAAAGCATTATCACAGTAGAACTGTAAAACTATGTTCAGTAACATCTACATTCCTTTGAAAAATCAGCCTAACATTTCCTCCAGTTGAGTTCGGCTCTATTAGTATGCAAATTTTTTGGCAATTAGAAGTTATTACCATATTCAATGTCGATCACGATAGCTTGAGCAAAGGTAATAGTATAAACTTGCTGACAATTATCCACAAAATCTCCACATAGGCGCGTAGAAAGAAAAAAAAACTACTTCGTCAGAGGGTGGGATCAAATTACTTGAGACATGCAGTGATGTAATAAGTCCTCAGAGCTAAATAAACCAAGTTTGCAATGTTCTCTTTTCCAAAGGTATTCATCCCATCGCGCTAGGGGACTGGTTATTTTCTACTTGAAAAAAATTGTTCCCTGAGCAGCTTGTGGACTATTACACTGCGGGAAAAACTGTCTCAAACAACACTGATAGTACGCAAGGAATATGTGAAAAAGATCGAATTGGAAAGCTTACCATGGCCACAGTGTGACCTGAGAATAGCATGTCGCCGCACAGAATATTCGCATTATCCTGAAATACACGCTTAACAACTGCGAAATTTTCATATCACCCGTCGGTCCGCCCGGTCAGCGCCGCGCTCTCCTCGTTCTTTTGAAATAGCCGTTAGCATACGTTGGCCGGGCGGACTCTTTACCTATGAGAGTTGTCAGGCATGTGCTTTTTT